TACTCATAATGCAAGATAGTTAAAGGAACGACAAAAAAAAAAATCCTAAATAAAAGGAAAAATTCCTAATGCAAGCAAACACCACCATCATATTGCAAGTCTCCCCAGTACCTCCCACACCATCTAGCAAATAATAAATAACAATACAAATAAATAATAAATCTATTTGGCAAATGAATGGATTTAATGCCAGTAAGAGAAATATGGAGGTGATAGGTAAGACTAACAGCTTAGTTTTAATTAATAAAGCCCCAAGGTGCTTTTGTGTCATTTTTTTAAATGCTAATAAATTTATTTGTAAACAATGTTTCAATTCCTCCATACAGAGATATCTTAATTTTTCTGAAAACAAAGTAAGCCATTTTCCAGGAAGAAAAAAAGTCAGGCTTTACTACTTACTTAGGACGGAAAAAAGGTTGGCAAGAGAGAATAAATTGAAAAACCAAATACTATGTTCCTCCACCATCCAAAGAAGAAAACATGCAAACCAGATCAACACCTAATTCACATGTAGCAGGTGTCCACAAAAAAATGTCTGCTGGTTCCCAAGGCAGAGAAGGTCAAGGGCAATTCTAAGTCCTTCTGGTATAAGACTCTTTCTTTATTTGAAAAGAGTTCTTTTTCTAAAGAAGGCGCTCAAGAAAAAAAGACAAAATTATTTTTATACAAGCTCTGAGAGAATGTTCTTAAGAGTCAACAAAACATATAGGAAAGTACTTTGGGTTCAGTAGAATCCAGGGTTAGGGTGCCCAACCTTTTCCAAAAAGAGATTTAACCCTCTACTCCCTAGAAACTATTAGTGACACGGGAAACCTCACCTCAGTTACATCGGGCCACACATCCACAATAAATGCAGCTGGTCTGAAGGTGGGCTGAAGAACCAATTTATTGACCAAGGAGTAAAGACGTCCTGTCCTGTTGCTTTAATCCGTAAACGCCATGTCAACGTGCAGGGTGCACGCACACCTCTCACTCTGCACTGTGAGAGCATGATGCTTCTACTTCTACTACAATTCTTTTCAGACTGTATTTTAGTGATTTTTATTCGTATCTGTTCCCTCCTTTTGGTCATGAACTCTGTGAGAGCAGGGACACATCTTACTCATCTTTGTGCTCCCAGGGCCTAGTACAGTGCCCTGCAGGAGACACTAAAAAAAATTACTACCGAATGATTGGACAAGCCCAGGGTATACTGAGATGTTCCATGACTAACGACTCACCACCCAAAGGAAAGGAGACTCAGATGAGAGCAGACACCTAGAAGCTATGGCCTGAAATTACAGATGATTTCCATAATAATCATTACATTTTATATATTAATCACCTTGTCTATCCTTTCGGAAAAACAGTATTGAGTTTTCCTTTTCATGATTAGTACAGGTACATGGAAAGTAAGATTCTCCTGAAATCTTTTTTCAAATTACACACATCATTTCTGCACACCCCTAGGAACCACTGAAGAAGAAAAGGGAATATGCTGTATTTGAGAAGAAAGAGACAATTTCAAACCTATAATTCTCTAAAAATCAAGCAAAAACAGAAAATATGGAGGAAAAAAGCTTCGTCAGAAACAATCTAAGGACAAATAAAGTACATCATCACTATAAACTTAGAACAATCCTCTCCCAGTATTTATCATGAACAAAACAGGTGCAACTTCACGGAGAAAGATAAATTAGAAGGGCGCCTTCTTCACTTAACGAAGTCCAAGTTATACCTTTTCACAACCCATTAAGTTTATAAGTGAAAGAGTACCAAGTGTATACCTTGTTTTATGCATCTAAAAACAAATGCCAGCTCAGTAATTCACAGCAGAAACCAGACAGTCATATACCTTTAATTATGCATTTGGCTAATTTCATAGTCATCCATTACTCTTATGGACCTCTTATAAAATCCACTAAAACAGAAAATTTCAAATACTGACCTCTAATTCAACACAAACAACAGGCCTTCTGTCCAGAATTACATCAAATGGCCACAGTTCCTTTTTCAGTAACACCATGAGCAGGAGGCTAAAGTCCTCCACAAATCGTCTCTGTAAATGGATCCTGCAGAGATGGTGACACAGTGTCACAGGTGCACATTCAGTTACTCCTGAACAGTCACCTCCTAAAAGAAGACAGACGACTCTTACTGCATCTAAAGCAAAACTGAACCTCAAAATGCAACTACACCAACTCAGTGTCATTGGAGTTTTCTAAACTAAACAGGGGTCAAGATGAGCTCAAAACAGGTCAAACTCCTCCCTCTTTGGTGCTTCAGCAACATTTAATTCTCTTATGTTTCCCCCAGACGGTAGATGCTTTTTAGTGGTGTCTTACACCACATATTTTTTTCTCAATTTTAAGAAGGTTTAAAGAAGCTATGGGGTGGGGGGTGGGGGTACATCAGAGAAGTGGGGGTCTATTTTTATATTAGGAGCTTTAAGTGAATCATTTTGGAGTAATGCACAGATGGGGCTGAGGCCCACCTTGAGGACAGCCATCAAAGGCCTAAATTTCCAAGGATCATAAATCACTGTAGTAAGCATATCAACAGCATGAGGTACTCTGCAAGCTTTTTGCAACCTTAACATTTCCATCCTCCACAGTCCTTTGACATCCTCAAAAAATGCCTTAGATTTCAAAGCCAGCCCCACATAAGCAAGACTCGCAATTCGCATCCTAGAAAATTGCAAGAGGAAGGCAAGACCCAAGCAAAACAGACTCATGGGATGCAATGTATTTGCCAGTACCTGAATTCTTCTAAGGGAGTGATACAAATATGGCCACTCCCTGCAGAATTTTAAGAGGAGAAATTACCCCAAATATCCAAACCAAATGAGAAAACAAATTATACAAGTACCTCATGGCAATAGGCACTTAACTAGACAACTCTTCCCTAATTCAATAGAACTAAAAAAACAAAACAAAAAGATCCATATTAACTGTTGTAATTACAAATTAATCTTTGACTCCCAGAAAGCAAAAAAGCTTCAGAGCTTCCTTCCTGAATGATGAGACTGGAATAAGCAACTTGAGACAGAAAAATTGCCTCAAATTATTTCAGGGACTACAAGCTAACTCTAGCTCTCTCTATATCTTTCTATTAAAAGTTCCTGAGCCTGTGATTGAGGTGGCAGGAAAAACTGCTACCTTCTCCCATTCCTAACTCACCTATTGAGGTCATCCTCATTGTATTTTCCCACAAAAAATATATTTACAGATTTCTGGGATTAAAAAATTGCTGAATGTGTTAAGAGAGGAAAAAAGACAACACATTATCACTCTCACAAAATGTCTTTGTGATGTCTCTTGTCATTAAATGAAAACATAAGTCTTTATTTTAGGACAAAAAACCTAAGAAGAAAACAATAGTTCTCTACTACAGCTGAACACTAGAACTGAGCACCAGAAGCACCTGCATAAAAATATTCATACACCTGCATGTAATGTAGGTATAAGAAAGACATCAAGGAAACAATGGCTTTCTCTAGGTAACATTACAGAGGATAAACTATCACTAGACTAAGTAAAGGTTGTGGGCTGCAACAGCCCTGAGTTCCCAAGAAAGAAAAAGATAACTAAAGTACTCTAGATTTGTAGAATATGTCTATATTTTGAAAGTATTTCCGTATCTACTTTTTCATTTCAGTTTACGTACTACAGCCCCCATTTGACAGCTAAGGAAGCAGGGCGTGTCATTATACTTCAAGCCCTGGTACAGGCAGAACTGGAATCCAGGTCTTCTCATGCTAACTAAGAGACGCATATCAAGCTTACTTATAACGTTCACAGGCTATCATGGGTTCAGGACATTTTGGTGAAGCAAGAAAAAACATGAATTACACAGCACATTCATAGTGTATTTAAAAGACACAGTTATTCTCTCCTATCAAATCAACAGCCCATCTCTTAACAAAACATTGTTTCTAGAGTTATAAACATTAGTTCCTCCATAGGTCAACCCAGTTCTCATATCTCACCTTGACTCAAATGCACAAATTACACAAGAATTTTTTTTTGGTATTTTTTTTAGAACAGTGCCTCTGAGCCAAGCAACAGCCCTCAAGTGGAAATGGAAACATCCACAAGCTAAGCTATATACTTCAAGCCACTCAATGTTCACATAATGTCTCATCCTAAGTAATCATGCCACTGACCCAAAGTGTCAGTCAGTGTCATCTTCAATCTTCCCATTAAGAGCTAAAGGAAAAGGAAATCTAATTAAAAGTCCAAGAAAAATTCACTTTAATCAAAACTACAAAGGGCAAGGGACTTTATGGTAGGAAAAAACTCTAAAACACAAGAAAATTGGTAACAAGAAAAGAGAGGTCAAGGGGGAAAACGAGGAGACAGTTTAAAGGACTAAAGCCAAACCAATCAAAAATAACTTTCCAAACAGAAGAAGCATAAAAAGATGGAGAAATAATGGAAGATGAGGGGGTTAAAATGCAGAGAATCACAACTTTAAGGATATTTTATGAAGAAAAAGAATACAAAACTAAATGTTTGAAGTATCACTTTATAAAATCAAAAGGAAAGAATAATACAATCGGTTCTATCAAAATCAATAGGAAATCATCTATTATGAGTATCTTTTCCTGAGTGAACCACCATACAGATGAGGGTCCCAGATTTGGCCAGTAATAAGAGCTACTACTCTGTAATAGTCCTCGGACAGGAGCTGCCTGGGACCCTATTAAATGGGAGCCAATGCTAGAGGACAGAAGGAGTTTACTCAAAAAATCAGTCTAACAAATCTCCAGTATGCTCTTCTTCACACTAAAATATCTGCGTGAATCAAAACAGAAACACGCACAGGCCAGATCACTACTGTTCTTAAAGTGAAGTAATGTAACCAGCTCAGCATAAACACACACATACACTTTAGTAGATATTAAGAAATCTCTGAAATAAAAAATGACCAGAGTAACCACAAAGGAGTTGAATCACCCATCTAAAAACAACCAACTTGCTAATTTTAAACACTGAACCATATTTTAAAAACTTTTTTACCTCAGAAGACTTTTTCACTTCAGATTTCGTATTTTAAAATTTTTCAGGAAAAGTCAAAAAGTTTCTATCACCTCCAGCAGTTGGAAGTCAGTTTCAACTACTAGTTATTTAAAAGAAATCACTCCTCATCCAGTAGCACAGCACTGAGATTCCAAAGCAGTTGTAGCGCATAATTCCATTTCAGAACCAGACAGCCCCACTCACCCTGCGGAGAGCCTACGGACCGGAAAAAGCACAAGGAAAGTTGCATTTCCCATTTCATATTTTGGGCTTAATATGCCGATGAGCTTGGAAAGAAAGAGAGGATCTCAAATTCAGCTTGATAGTGATTTACTACAAATAATACAGCAATGGTTGGCACTCAGTTTCAAAATAAATCACTAAAAAGTCACAAATTGTATACTTTAAAAGGGTAAATTTTATTGCATTGTGAGTTATATCTCAATAAAGCCGTTACTTTAAAAAATAAACAAACGGTACTTAGAAAGAAGTACTCTGTATAACATAAACCACCTGGCTCTATTACTGAGACCACAAAATGTGCATTTTAAAATTCTGATATATAAAAGACATATAAAATTCTGATATACAAAAAGATCACTCATGGTCGAAGAAATGCAAATTAAAATACTGTAACATTTCACCTGTCAGCTTAGCAAAGATTAAGAACTTTCATAATATCCGGGGTTGGTGAAAAGATAAGGAAATCCAAACCCTGAAACACTCTGTGTACACCGGCACATCTCAGAGGGTAATTTATGAACAGCTTTCAAAATTAAAAACGAACATATCTACTGATTCAGCAATTCTACTTCTAAGAATTTACCCTACAGCTACACCTATACAATAGAAGAGGCACAAGTGTTTAAAAAAATAATAATAATAATGAGAATCAATTTAAGTGCCCATCAACAGAAAGCTGAAGGATACATCCACACAATGTCCCACTACGCAACTGTAAAACAAAAACAAAAACAAAAACAAAGGCCTGAGGTATAATTACAAGTATTGACTGGAAAAATATGTGCTTGAAATATTAAATAAAAAAGTAAAATTCAAGACAGTATGTACAGTGTGTATATATGTGCCTATACATGCATAGAAAATATCTGGAAGAATATGGGGGAATGTGCACTACTCTTTTTGAACTGTATGAATGTGATTACAATGAGTATATATTAATTTTATGATTACAATTTGTATTTAATTTGAACACATCAAGCTTTCAAATAAAGTCTTACCCTGGTATTAAATCTGCCCATGCTATGACCCCAACCTGTGTTTCCAGTGCTCTCTGGTTCCAGCCAAACCAGTCTGTTCTTCCTTTGAGAAAGCAGCCCAAAGGACCCCTCTCCAAAATGCTCTTAGAATGTGGTGCAAACAGCTGCCAGCAACAGCTTCACATATAAATCACCCAAGTTGAGTCGAGGCCGTCCGGTGGTGCAGCAGTTAAGTGCGCACGTTCCCCTTCGGCAGCCCAGGGTCCACCAGTTCAGGTCCCGGGTGCAGACATGGCACCACTCATCAAGCCATGCTGTGGTAGGCATCCCACATATAAAACAGAGGAAGATGGGCACGGATGTTAGCTCAGGACCAGTCTTCCTCAGAAAAAAAGAGGAGGATTGGCAGCAGATGTCAGCTCAGGGCTGATCTTCCTCAAAAAAAAATAAAATAAAATAAAATAAATAAAATAAATAAATTACCTGAGTTGAAAGAACTACATCTGCCTGCATCTGCTACAGAAAATTTTTAAAGAATTAAAAAAAAAAAGGAATTGAAACACAATTTAATAATCCTCATCATAGAAACAGCGAAAGTACTCACCATTTCCCATGCTTTCCAGGCCCTGTGCCTCTGCTCCATGCAATTTCCTGTCTCAAATCCTCTTAGCTACTTATCACATGTCCAAATCCTGCCAACCCTTCAAAACACAAGTTACACACCTCCTCCTACACCAAATCTTTCCTAATGCCCACAGCCAGCACTAATTCTCTTTCTTAAACCATAGTACCATCAGCTCTTGAGACACTGTCCTCTACCTAGTACTCAATTGTGTACGTCTTATTGCTATTTGTGAGAAAACTCATCAAGGACACCATCTGAGTCTTGGTCATTTGTATGACCCCATTTCATACATAAATTAAACTGATATTCCACTAAAGCTTGTAGGAAAAAGAGAATGGCAGGAATCTAAAAGTAAAAAGCACAGGCTTTTCTTACGTATTTATTTTAATTAGGTAATACTTAACATATGACATCTGAGTATGAACAATAAGGATCCCTCTCTCTCCATCCCTCTCTCAGGTGCCTTATTATACCTCCTTAGAAGGCAAACACTACAATCAATTTCTTTTTTCTTTTTTTTGGGGGGGGGGGGATATTAGCAGAAGGTGCACACTTAACTACTGCACCATCGAGCCAGCCCCTACAATCAATTTCTTAACAGAGCATTTTAAGAAGTCTTTAGATACTATAACTTTATAACATATTCATAACTGTAGGTCTAAGGTGACAGAAATAATTTGTAAATGGCACTTAAAAGTAAATTTATTTATGACAATTATACAATTATACACAGTGTACTTGTATGTTGGGGCAAATAAAATTTAACAACGAACAGATGGAAAGAAAAACCACATCCTATGACTTGCAAAACGAAAGTTATCAGACCTGTGAGATAAGTCATTGTTCACCATGAGGAAAATTACAGATTCTTTCAAGCATAACTATAAACCAAGTTAACTTTTTTTATAGTGTAAAACCTGAAGGATTCCATAAAGACCCTGAAATCCTCAGTAAGCTATGACAAAAGTGCTAAGCCACCACAAACAAAATACTAAAGAAGAATGTAGGTGTTTTGTAAAGCTAGATTTCTTAAGGAATACTAATGTTAATAACGTTAATAAAAGCATTTCTCAGTATATTAGTAGCAACAAGATGTCTGCACATTTTCCTTACTATTTATAAATAGTAAGAATTAAATGTTTCTAATAGGTCTTTAATCATGTTCACTATATAAAAACTTAGGAAATTTCAATAATTATTCCTACAATAATGAACCACATGAAAATAAACAAATACACAGGGCAGATTACGCTACTAAGATCAGAATGCTCAAACCAGAAGGCAGTTAGTTCATCTTGTTAGAAAATTTACCTAGCAATAAAAATATGAAGCCATCATTAGATCAAAAAAAACTTCGGTGAAGATTCTATAGTGAATATTTGAACTCACTGGAGCAGTATGGTACTCAACACTATTGAAGGCTGAATTATCAAATGTGTTAATACTCTATTACCCACTGGGATTTTACAGAACAGACTGCCAGATGTCCTGCAACACTTATCCTTCCCTTCTTTCAAATAATAGAATCTCTGATTTTTGTCTAGGCACATAGCCATCTCCGGGAAGGACTACATTTGCCAGCTTCCCTTGCAGCTATCTTCGCCCCATGATTCAGTTATAATTAAAGGGACAGAGGGGCTAGCCCAGTGGCATAGTGGTTAAGTTCACTCTCTCTGCTTTGGCAGCCCAGGGTTCACAGGTTCAGATCCCAAGCATGGACCTGGCACAGCTCACCAAGCCACACCGTGGAGGCAAGTCACATAAAATAGAGGAAGACTGGCACAGATGTTAGTTCAGCATCAACCCTCCTCAAGCAAAAAGAGGAAGACTGGCAACAGATGTTAGCTCAGGGTCAATATTCCTCACAAAAAAAATAAAATAAAAAAATAAATAAAGGGACAGAGCAAAAGGGATGTGTTTAACTTCTGGGAAGTATCATCACAGGATAGGGATGTGCCCAGCTTTTGCCCTTGCCTCCCTCCTGCTGGTGAAAATGCAGAACTGATGAGAGGAACTGGAGAGGCTATCTCTGACTAAAAGGAGAAAACTGGGTCCCCTAAGGAGCATGAAGGTGTGATACTGGCACAGGACTGTCCATGATTTACCTGAAAGAAAGGAAACTTCTATCTCACTCAAGTGATTGTTATTTGTGGTCTCGGCCACTCACTGCTGTAGCCAATTCTACTTGATACAAAGGCAAAACTATAAAGAAACAGTATTATACGTATTTATTAAGTACTACCTCATTAAACAATTTCTAAGACATATTTTAAACTTACTAGAATTGAAATAAAAACCCATTTTTGATCATTCAAATAACTAAGAAGTTCTAAAATGTTTTCTATACTATATTTGAGACATAAAAATATTATCAAGAATTTGTCAGGGCCAGCCCTGTGGCCAAGCGATTAAGTTCACATGCTTGGTTCAGCAGCCCAGCGTTTCAGTGGTTTGGGTCCTGGGCGCGGACCTAGCACCACTCATCAAGCCATGCTGAGGTGGCGTCCCACATGCCACAACCAGAAGAACCCACAACTAAAACACAGAACTATGTACTGCGGGGCTTTGAGGAGAAGGAGGAAAAAGAAATAAGATTGGCAACAGATGTTAGCTCAGGTGCCAATCTTTGAAAAATAAATAATAAAAATTAAAAAACAAAAATCAGCTTCCTGCATATGCCTTGGGGTCAACAGATTAAGTCAAATCTCTTTTACTGTCGACCTCAATAATACAATAACATTATTCATTCAACAAATGAATGCCTACTGTATTCCTCACATGCTAGAGGCAAGGAACACTGAAGTGACCAAAGCAGACGTGGCCTCTACCCTCCTGGAGTTTACAAAACAGGAATGTACCTAAGCTTGCAGAATCTGAGCACGACACTCTAGATGCCTCTTTTCTAGCCTTCAAGTTAGTCATCCCCATTCTGTCGTTATATTCTTGTTTCAGACTGAGTATACTATTATTAGGCTTCAGTTTTGCTCTACTAACATAATCATATATAATCATATTCCTCAAAGATTACACTCCTGTCACCAAAATTAGAAACAGAATATTACCAAAATGCCACAGTAGCTATCATTGATGGTGGGCCATATTTCCAAATGGCAAATCTTATTTATCACATGACATTTCTCCTTAATTTCATCTCAAAGATCCTTAAATTTGAACTTTGTGGTTCCCCCCAGGTCCCAGGGAATGTCCTAAAAAGAGTCAGAATGTAGGGCTGCTAGATGACCAACTATTTTTAGATATTCCTCACAGGCCATTAAACCAAGCTCAACAGAGCTGAAGATGGACCAACACAATGCCTCACTCTCTCTCTCCATCCCCTACCTTCTTGAACCTCTCTAAGAGGAGGGAACACTAATTGATTGGGTCAGACTGACTGGACATTCTTTCTAAGAAGATTAAATGCAGATTAAAAGTTACACATATATATAAGGGTTTGCTATCTTGCTCTTGTTCATTTCTCTCACACACTCTAAAGACTAATTTTGGGTCTTCTGTAAAGTAGCCAGCCTAAGGGTAGTAAAAAAGTGGGATTCAGGAGAAAGGGAAATCCCTTGCCTAGGCTGTAAACTTAAGCAGTACACTCCAACCCAATTTACTAGACGGCTCTACATCAGCAATTTGGCCAAAAGCCCAGTTAATAATAAAATAATACTTGGAATTTCTCACTTGCCATTGTTCTACTTACATAAATCTCCTTCAGGAACATCACAAGGAAAAGGAATAACTAAACTGTGATATGCTGATCATTTATTAACACCCCAAATCTCATCACTACTCCCTGGTTTGTGCCATTCGCTCAGCATTTAATCACGTGTTTTGTAGCATTTCCCATATTTACGGAATAGTAAAAATTTTATAGCTGGTAACACAGAACTTATTCGAACACTCTAGAGTTGACCCACTGCTCCCACATATCTCCTAGTTGTTGACTGTTGCAGATAACAAACAAAGGGAACATAGGAGAAAGCTAGTCTCTGGATGATGATGATAAAAGTAATAACAATAAAAACAGACTAATACTTATTGAGCCTTACTATTTGCCAGAGGCATTTTAAGTACTTTATATGTATTAATTACTTTGGTCCTCACAAGAACCTTGTGAGTTGAGTACTATTATTACTCCCATTTTACAGATGAGAAAACTGAGACACAGAAAGGTCTTACCTAAAGTCAGACTCAATAAGCAGTAGGCTGGGAATGGAGTCTAGAGCTCTTAACTACTTTGCTACAGTAATATATTATGGTTAAGAGTGGACAAAAACAGACTGGTAAGTTTTGAGGTTGAGTGCCAAAAAGACATCTAAGGAGGCAGAAGGCAACATGGATCTAGATCTCAGGAGAGAGATCAGGGCTGTATTTATAAACATGCAGGTTGGAAGCACTAGGTGTTAAAGGAAGCCATGGAATGAGGTCACTCTGGAAGACAGTACTGAGAGAAGGGTTAATGGATAGAATCATGTGGAATACCAATATTTAATATAAAATTAACACATTTTAGGTCAAACTGATGATGCAATAAGGTGGGGTAAGCATTTGTATATTTATATATAAAACATATAACATATTACAAATCAAAATATATAATGGTTATACTTACTCTATGGGAACTAGAACATAATTTAACTATAATGA